TCTCTCTCTCCCTCCCTCTCTCTTCTCTCTCTTCTCTCTCTCTCTCTCCCTCCCTCTCATTTTAGGTACAGAGAGAAGAAGGTGCTGGTAGTACTGCAGCAGCTGCCACTAGTCTTGCAAGGTAAATATTGCTATTGTTGTTGTTATTATTATTGTTGTTGTTGTTGTTTATAGTCCAATGAAGCAGAAACCTGAAGCGCTCAAGCCTTTGACTGTACGCCAACCTCTCAGCCTGTGAGTGAATTCAAATTTAAAGTAGCAGCTTCTGTATCCTTTTAATGTGCTTTAGTGAAGGGACTGAATCTCAGATTGAATTCTTCAAGAAAATGGACAAGAGAATTGAACAGGTACATACATGTACATGTAGCTTATAATTTTTATATTTATTTATTTACTTTTTATTTTATTTTTAGGGACCGGATTACGATGAGGAGAAGGACACAAAGAAATAACTATTAAAAGGAAATACAATTTGATCGTCGTTGATTCATCACTTGATTTATACTGTAGGGATATTTCAAAATTGTACAGAACCTAATCATGATTTTAATTCCAAATTAGCTCATCATTTGTAACATTATAATAATTGTTATTATAAAAAATGTAATAAATAACTCTAATTAGTGCCCATTACTGTCACGCCCAATACGTTCATAGCTCCGCCCACAAGATGCAGGCTGCCACACACTAGTACTTGTACGTATAATTCTTTATTAGTTTTCCTGACTCTGCCCACCCAATTAACGGCATCCGATATGCAATCAAACACTTTAGTCTTTTGACAAACTCCAGGGAGACTTAGCCACGCCTTCTCGTTGTCGTAGCAACGTCCTAACATGTCTGCCACGGAAACATTATAATTAGCTTGATCTAATAAGAAAGTGTATGAGGTTAATTAATGATAGGGTGTGGCTTACCAGAACTATGAATATCATTACTGGTGATGTTCGGACAAAACAAAGCATAGTCAAATCCTAAAGACTAAAATTAAAAATACAAAAATAAAATTTTAAAAATATACAATACAGTATGTATTATGATTTACATAGATCTCGTTCATGAGGTTTTTCGCTTCTCGTCTTCCGCTGAAATTAAACAATAAAACTTTCATTAGAGGACCTCTGGAAAATAAAAGATAAATAAATAAATACAACAAACATGTACATGTATATACGCAATGTACCGTATAAGTGGTTTTTTTTCGAGGGTTGCAAATTTCACGAATTTCGCGGATTCCCTCCTAATTCGCGAAAATAAAATCCGCGAAAATCAATTTAATACGGTACCCGCATGGCACACGTGGTAGGATTCGCGAAATTAAAATCCGCGAATTGGAATTTTAGTAGATTTCGCGAAATATAATTCCCTCGAAAAAAACCACTTATACGGTATTTCTGAGTGTTTTATAATTATCATCGTTCCTCACTGTATTTCTGCTTCTTCTTTTCTCGAAGAGACTGAGAACCAGTTGGAACACACTCTTAGACTCTCGGCAGTGTGAGCTCCGTCAAGATAATAAGACACACCCACTCGTTTAACTACTTGACACCTGCCGGGCCACACACAATCGCTCAGGCCTGTTTTTTTAAATTAATAAAATTAAAATTATAAATTAAAAATAATTATACCTTTTATAAATGAGCTCGGCAGTAAAAAAGGTCGAGCAATAGGTAGACCACACCTCTCTCCTTCTGCTAATTAATTATTAATTAATAATAAATAATAATTAAAATTTAATTACCATCATTAAGAGGCTCCTCCCCTTCGTTCCATTTCGACATACTCTTCAGCCATTGCTTGCACAGCTGAACGGCTAAAGACGCATTTTCTAATTGATGAGCACCTGCAATACCAATCTCTAAGAGAGAAGAGAGGGAGAGAGAGTAAAGGAGAAGGAATTGGTTGAAAACAGTTAAAAGATCTTACTCCATTTTTCTCTGTCAGGGTACAGAGATGAAGCAGGTGCTATGGCGACTGATGACGCTTGAAGCTCCTTCCCTCGTGAGAGTATCACTTGTAAGGATTCATCCGATTGTACTGACGTGAATAATGGAACACCACTCTAAACAAAAAAAATAAAATACTTAAACTGGTGACAAATAATGCATCAGTTACTTTACATATCCCAGTTTTGTGCCAAGTTATTTCCTCAATTGTCTTTCCTAGCACATCTACATGATCATATCCAAGGCTAGTTATACCACATACCACTGGTCTCCTATGAAACAGAAAAAGATACATTAATCATTTAAAAGTAATCTGCAATAATAATATTATTGAAGAATACTTGATGCTACACGTATATACATGTACATGGGCAATCAGAGTATTATTATTATATATTTTCATTAATTATTTATTATTATTAAACTCACTGTATCACGTTAGTGCTGTCATAGCTACCCCCGATACCAACTTCAACAACTGCAACATCAACCTAGTTATTAATAGTTAATAATGGTTATTAATAGTTATTGGTACCTTCTCATTTAAAAATACTTTAAAAGCTAACAATGTTAAAAACCTAAAATATGCTGGCATTTGCTCCTCGTAAAGTTCCTAAAAATAATTAAAAATTATACAAGAAACATACAAGTATAGTAGCAGGTGGCATTATTTTCAAATGATTGTTTCAAACTCACTTTGTTTCTTGTCAGCGAGTCGTAGCACTGCCAGAAATAATTCACAAAAAGGTCCTTCCCAAGTGGCTCTCCGTTGATTCTTATCCTCTCCCTCACCTCTAGGAGGTGTGGCGAACTGTAGTCATGACAACAGCAGCAATTAAACATTAGCTAGTAAACGGATTACCTGTAAAATCCTGTCTTTAGGCCGTGAGCTCTTAAAATGCTCTCACACATAGCACAGACAGATCCCTATAGATATCAAAATTATTAAATTAATTACAAATTTATGGTTTGCCTTATCAATATACTATGAATATTCATTGATTTAGTTATCAATACTACTACAAAGTAAGTACATGCATTTATATAATAATCAGATTATAGCACATACTCTTCCGTTCATTACCTTTCCTTTGGTACCAGCAACATGAATCACATTCAGACTATCAAGTTCTGTCACCTTTAAAAGGAAGAGAAGAGGAGGGAGAACATTAAGACATTATGTTTGCAGCTAATGATAATAATAATATAATTTTATTCTATAATAATAATAAAAAAGTGTGTTTTTACATCAATTCCAACTCTAGACAGGAACTCTGGAGTCTTTGAGAATATATGCTTCCCTCTGCCTCTAGGCTGCTTCCTCATCTCAGATAAGACCTGGAAGTTGCTTTGCAGGCCATTGAGAGCTGACACAGCCCTCTAGAGCAGAAGAGAAGAAAAGGGGAGAGAAAGAAATGCAAGATAAACTAAGTGTTAAAAATGGTTTCCTCTCTTCATCGTACCTCGTAATCAGACTCACTGACGGCGGCCATCCCACTGTAAGATAAAGGGACTAGTACTCTTGTCCTTCTAGAGAGGAGCAGGCAAGAGATTGTATTACTGTAGAATGTCAAAGTTCTACAGCGTGCACAATTAAAAATCATGCCTTTTATGAATAGGGAGTGGCTAAAAATACCAGCAAGTTAGCCCACGCAAAGGGCGTGGCTCAAATTTACATCCCACGCAAATGGGTGGGGCTCAAATCCGAGATCCATGGATGTTGGAACGCAGACGATTGTAAGTTGGATAGAAGAGCAAGTAAAAGTGGAAGAGACTCCATTAGAGGCTACAGATGATAGCTTACACAAGAAAGACAGCAATGAAAGTATAACTGATGAAGATAAAGAAGGAGAAATTGAGAAAGAGGCAAAACTAGAAGACCTTGCTTCAGCACTCAGCGACACCAGCAGCAGTGAAGATGAGAGAGAAGAGGATGAAGAGAAGGAATACAAGCCAGTATCTACCTCAGTGAATGTACCCTGGCCTTCAGTGTTGCAGTATATGAGAGAAACAGATTCTGAATCATCAAAGTATTTTGGACTTGGAAAAAAAAAGACAAAAATAGGAAATGATGAACAAGGGAAAGAGAGAAATGAGCAAGAACTTTGTCAGTTTTGTGGAGAAGCTTTAAAGCACTTAAGCTTACTACCTGACAGCCTGGAAAAGGTAAATACAAAAATTTAAAGTGCAATAGATCAACTTTATACATACTATTATACAAGACATAAATACAGAGTTTTTATTTTAGGAACCTGAGTTTTGCTGTGAAGATATGAAAGAATATGTTGTACTACTTGCTTTGTATACTAAGAGATTACAAGAGCAGAAACTGATATCAAGGCCAGGCCAGATCAAAATAAAATCACAAGTGAAAGAAGAGGAAGCCAAAACAGCCCAAGAGAGAGCACTAGAAAGGTATTATAGTGCTGCAAGTAACTGCAGTAGCTGCTGCAAGTAGCTGTAGTACTGATGATTTACTGCATGCAACAACTGATGTTTTGTTATACAGAATGAGAAGGAAGAAGAAATGGGAAGAAAAGTGCAGAGAAATGAAGATACTGCAGAGTTCAAGTGTGTCTGCAAGTGAGCAGCTCCTTAATAAAGTGTATTGTAATGGAGGAACTCTCTCTGACTTCCTTTTTTTCTTATTCTCTCTCTCTTTCTCTTTATCAGTGTCAAGACAAACAAAAGTGATCAAATTTTCCCTTTCATCTGACAACTGTATGAGCACAGGTTGGGTTGCAGATATTCATGAGAATAAAGGTAATCACTAATAGGCATAGTTAAAAATTCAATTTTGATCAAAATTAACATAATTTTTTTTTGATTTTTGGTAAAATTTGACCAAAGATCCTGTACTATAGTACAGGGAATTTTTTCCAATTATTTTAAAGCAACTTTAAAAATTCGTAAAAAATCCAATTTTGATCGAATTCAACTCAAACTTTGTACGCAATATAAGTACATGTATATGCATCAAAAAACATTATAAAAATGAAGAATTTTCACCTTTTGATTTTTGACAAAATTTGGCTTGTGACCCTGTACTATAGTACAGGGACTTTTGTCTGATTTTGGAGCAACTTTAAAAATTTGTAAAAAATCCAATTTTGATCGAAATGAACTCAAACTTTCTACGCAATATAAGTACATGTATATGCATCAAAAAACATTATAAAAATGGAGAATTCTCACTTTTTGATTTTTGGTGAAATTTGGTCCGTGACCCTGTACTATAGTACAGGGACTTTTGTCCGATTTTGGAGAAACTTTAAAAATTCATAAAAAATCCAATTTTCATCGAAATCAACTCAAACTTTCTACACAATATAAGAACATGTATATGCATCAAAAAACATTATAAAAATGGAGAATTCTCACCTTTTGATTTTTGGTAAAATTTGGCCCATGACCCTATTATAGCTCATGGTTCTTAGCCTAATGATTTGACACTATACACTAATGAAAGTGAACCATGCTGCTGATATGTACTAATAGGAAAAAAGAAAAAGAAGAAGCAACCAATGCCAGTAGTGCTTCCATTACCATCAATACCCATTGATGATGCTCCTCCAGATGATGCTAGCTGTGGATACATTGACAAGATAAGCTATAGCTCTGGACAACCACTCTCAGTTATACTGCCAGATAATACTGGACAAGTTTAGTATCCTTAAACAATTGATGCATGTGAAATACTATAAATATTATAAACATCACTGCAAATAACAGAATATAGTTAACCTTCTTGATTTTTTAGAAATATTGTTTAATAAAGGAATTGTTTTTTGACTTAACTTTGGTCACAGTTATCCTTCAGATAATTTAGCTTTACTTCAAGTAGCTCTTCATCCATCAATCAATGTGTACTTAATATTCCAAGTGAGCCAGTTGCTAAATATAGTAACACTATTAATTAATGAAAAGGCTAAATTTAGTAACGCTATACATTATTCTATAAATAGGACAGCAAGAGAGGTGATTTGATTGGTTACGTTGATGATTATGGGAGGGGCTGGGTAAAGGGAGATTATTCAATAAGGTAGGCTCATGTCACATGACAATCACATAACTAGGTTTTTAGGTTTCTGAGTACGCTACATGAAAGTTTTCTGTTTGATAATTCTGGGAGGAGCAAGACGTGGGTTTGGTCCGATAGTGGAACCTATTCTCTTCACCTTCCACTTGTGTTCAGACTAAACCAATATCTTACTATAAAATACAACAATCACGTGAGAAATAATAATAATAACAATGGCAATTTTTAAAATTCTTTTTTAGGATGACATAAGTATTACTCTCACGGCCCAACAGAAACAACACAAGATTCAGATAAAAAGAGTCGTTACCATGGTAACTAATACTTTCTTAATCCAACATAGTCATCTTGTCTCTTAGGCTGGGACAGGAAAACCTGCAGTTGACAAAACTGTGAAATATTACAACAAAGAACTGGAGAAAATGACACACAGATTCAAGTAATAAATGCCATGAGAATAACTCTTTTTAAAATTCTTTTCTTTAGCTCACATTTGAGCAGTTTCCAGCAGTCAATAAAGTTGTACAACAGCTCAGGGAAAAGCAAGGTGTTGCCTCCAATTAATGGCAGTCGAACAATTTTTAAAAGAGCAAGAAACAGCAGCGTTGGGACGGTAACGTTTCAACAATAACGTAATTTAATCAATGATAATAATAATAATATAATATATTATTTATAATAATTATTATTGTACAAAAGGAATGTCTTTCAAAAAACTTGAAAGGTACTCAATTTAAAAAAAGAAACAAACACAGCAGCTCACAAAAGCACACACGCACAATAATTGACTAATCACAAACAACAATAATAATAATAATAATAATAAATCGGCCATAGACACGCCCACCCAAACACACAGTTGTATAGAAGATTGTTTTTAAATTTCCTAATTCCACCACTCATCTTTATCGTCATCATCATCATCACCAAATAACGGATTAGGAGGAGGTTTTGCCTTTGTGGTCTAACAAATTAACAAAACAGTTAAGTTACTATTTTATAAAAGTTAATTGACTAGTTAAAAGTAAAATGGCTGTCACTTTCTTCTCTCTCCTCTTCCTTACCTCGGGTGAATCTTTAGTGGGTTCGTCTTGTTTAGCAGCTGGTTCTGGA